TGCAGGTGCTGTCCTCTCAGCTGGAAGACTCTGTCCCTCGACTTGTCTCAGAGCTAGCTGCTTCTCACATTCCAGAGATTAACTGAAATGAGTTAGAAAAGTCAAAGGGGGAGAAATATATATACAGGTATTGACCGACTTATGACCTATGCAACTTACGACCATTCGACTTTACGACCACAATCGCTAGCCACGACTGCTCCGCGTCTGGCAGCGCAAACGTTGCCCAGCTGGGCGTACAACAGTGCGGACCAGCTTCCGGCAGCACTACCATCTCCGCGTGCACCATTTCAATCGTACATATAACCTACTCAACTTACGACCAAATCGTGTTACGACTGGTCCGCAGGCCCGACCGTGGTCGTAAGTCGAGCACTAGCTGTACCTATTATGTACCCACAACATTTTTAAGTAAAAAATAAAAATAAAAGGAAGATAAACCAGAAAGGAAGGGACATCAAAAATTGCAGGGGAACTGAGAAGCCAAGAGCACGGCAGAGAGGGACCATGAGGGAAGAAGGGTGGATGAAAGAACAAGACACAGGAGGAGGGTCTAGGAACAAAACCAGTGGGTACGGTGACAAAGCGGGGGCTGCAGTGAGAGGCAGGGACTAGATGGAAGTGACTTGGGTGAGCTGGTGCTGACAGGGCAGAAAGAAGTCAGTAAGAGGGTGGACAAAGCAGGTAGGTTAGCTGCAAATACATGGAGTGGCAGGTGGGGGATGGTAAGGTGCATGGGGGAAGCTGACAGGTGTGAGGGAAGAGATGATGTGGATGGAAGGAACAGGGCAGTGTGGGTTAAGGTGAGGCTGGATGGCTGGTGATATCTGAAGCAGTGATGGGGAGCATGACGGGAAAGAGGAGTGCTGAGGGAAGAGGGCGAATAACCGAAAGGAGAGTCAGTGAATGGACAAGAGGGGTGATGACAGCTGGCACTCAAAGTTCTCCCACCAACAGGCAGGAGAGAAGCACTGGGGTCACTAACAGCAGGGAAGAGTCCCTGGTCCCTAATAGACAAGGGATAAAAGAGGTCGCACAAAAGAGGGGACAGGCACTGACACCAGGGGAGAACTGATGGGGAGGGCCTTGACAGGCACTAACACAGGGTTCCTGATGGCAAAGAGGGGAAGGACACATAGGCAGGACGGGGGAGACACTTCCAAGGGAAACTTACCGGTGGGGGGGTTCACTGACAGAAAGCACTGTCACTGACAGGGGGTAACTGACAGAGAAGATCAATGACAGAAGGGGTCACAGAGCACTGGGACTGCCAAAGAAGGGCACTGGCAGGGGAGGGACTATGCAGTCAGTGATTGACGGGTATCGGTGGGGGTGCAGGCACTGATGGGAAGGGGGGACATGACAAAAAGAAAAGAATTGCCTGGAGAGGACACTGGCTGATGGGGGACACTGACTGCCAGGAGGGGACACTGATGGGGGGCAGACTGGACTGATGGTGGGGAGCACTGACCAATAGCAGAGGCACCGACCAGTGGGGGGACTGACCAATGCGGGGGCACTGACCGACGTGTGGGGAATGACATGCAAGGGACACTGACTGACGGGAGGGGGACAGAATAAGGGCAGACTGTGGAAGGCTTTGATGGGGGAGCACTGACTGACAGCAGGGAGCTGACTGGGGAGGCACGCACTGACTAGGGGGTCACTGACTGGAGAGGGTACTGACTAGAGGGGACACTGGGGGAGCTGACTGGGACACTCACCGGGGGGAACTGACTGGGGGGAACTGATTAGAGGGGACACGGGGGGGCACTGATGGGGGGAGCTGACTGGAAGGGACACTGACTGGTGGGGACACTAACTAGCGGGCACTGACTGATGGGGGAACTGACGAGGGAGGAACTGACTGATGGCAGGAACTGACGGTGGGGGGGCCCCACTGACTGGAAGGGCAGTGACTGACTGAGGGGGAACTGACTGGAGGAGGAACTGATGGGG